CACATATACATATATATACTTTATATATATATATATATATACTAACGTAAACATACATAGATACATATACACACACACACACACATATACATATATATATATACACACATCCATATAATATAATATAATATATATATATACATATATATATATATACATACATACATATATATATATATGTATGTATATGTATATATATATGTATATATACGTATACATGCATATTCCTAGAGAATGCAAGTTAAATACACTCCATATGAAAATAAGATTAGAAATGTTGAGGTTTTTGGTACGTTAGTTTTGGTGGAGGCCGCACCATTTACCACATATGTCCTACAATATGCATGCTTCAGTGTATTCGCTACGCAAAATACGACATATACGACATCCAAAGTACTACATACGACACCCAAAATACGTCATTTTACCACTGAACCATATAACATGCTCACACACACACACACACACACAAACGTATATATATATATAGTCAACCTTGCGACACTTACCACACCATATATATATATATATAAATATATAGTCAACCTTGCGACACTTACCACACCATATATATATATATATAAATATATAGTCAACCTTGCGACACTTACCACACCGGTCCTACGGCAACGAGTGATGTGTTCAGATGCAGTGCCTGGATACTGCAGATGCCAATGTCTTTAAATGCCAGTGTCACGCGTACGCCCTTGCTCGCTCTGATGATATCCACTTGCAGATCAACACAGCCTCTACTCTCACTTGCTGTTAAGTGTTGACATACGTTAATTGTGTACGTTAGTATCTTTATATACATATATATATACATACACACACACACACACACACACACACACACACACACACACACACATATATATATATATATATATATAATATATAGAGTAGAAAGGTTTGACTAGTTAGCACATACCGGCAGGATCGACAGTCATGTGGTACATATTGCGAAGTCCGTCAATTTCATTGGCCAACTTTTTGACACGCTCCAGAGCAAAGGACAGTTCTTCCAGCAGCTGTGATTGGACGAAATGTGCATTGACACGAAATTAGACGCGATTTGATTGGCTGCTGCATCACACACCGACACAAAAAGGGCCGTACGTATGCATGTATACAGATCACGTGCTAGACAGAGGCAGACACGTGCGTTTCGCGAACGAAACATTTCGCGCAAAGTGGTAAAGGTAAAGGTAAAGGTAAACACCACAGGCTGCAACTGCAAACATAGACAGATGCACCACCATGCCTCGTATGCGTAAGTGAATACATGCACACATACTATACTATATAGAGTCTACATACATGTCTATACACACCTCAGGTACTTGCTACGAGACGGTGAGCCTATCTGTGAGAGCATACAAGAGGCCACAGTCCAACATCTCCTTGAGAAGGTCTGTATTACACTACACACTTCAATACACGTCCATACCACACCAAATACAACCTTACAGATACAAACAAACAAACAAACAAACACGTATATGTATATGTATATACACACCTCAGGTAGTTGTTCCGAAGTGGTGAACCTGTCTGTGAGATCGTCAAAGAGGCCACAGTCCAATAACACTTTGAGAAGGTCTGAGCTGGTTTCCTGCGACAAGTGAGTCTGCTCCACACCGATGGAGGCGATACGCTGCGACTTTTCATTGGTGGCTATTTTTGGATGCATGCTCACGTAGATGAGGAATGCTCCTTCCTGAGATACACCGGGACAGTCGAACATTAGTTGGTCACGGCCTACAACGACATACAGATACAGGCTCGTAGTAATACGTATATATATATATATATATATATATATATACATGTCTACATTTATAGAACAGAAGTCATACTTGGAGGGCAAAGACTAGAAGCTCGCGGTCGACTGCTTGGAAATATCGTCGTTGCAGTGTGGTTTCAGAGCGAGTTAGTCATGCGAGGCGTCCAAAGCAGCATTTGCGCAGAATACACCGTCACACACATATATATAACAGAATCCTTACTTGGAGGGCGAAGACCACGAGCTCGGGGTCGACAATCTGGGGGTACCACTGTTGCAGTGTGGTCTCGAGCAACAGTTCGTCATGCATGGCGTCCACGTGCGCTGGTGTCAGGGCATTCCACACGGCTAGTTTGGCCTGTGGTGTAGACGAGTGTAAAAGTAGGGTTTAGGGTTTTTTGTCAACAAAGTGCCGACGGTGTCCATTGTGTCAAGTAGGTGTCAATAGTAACTGGCAGGTAGGTATAGAGTGTGTTGTAGGCAGCTTCTGCGAGAGGTACCGAACATCCGATACGTGGCCATATTATACGCAGCTACAGCAAACGAACACCCCCCACCACATGGAACAGCCAGCTCACATAGAGCACACGATACTATAGTGAGAATTACACACTGAAGGCTCGAGGGGATGTTTGTGTGAGCAACATACTACCAATGACTCATAACCTATAGCCTATACCTGCGTACTGACCTATGTCCCGTACCTGCGTACTGGCCTATGTCCCGTACCTGCGTACTGGCCTATGTCCCGTACCTGCGTACTGGCCTATGTCCCGTACCTGCCAAAGCCGGTCCTAAATTTATATTTAGGCACAACATATTTATATACAACACTCAGTACTACAAAGTCCATACTGCATGTACACACAACACTCAAGTGTAAACCATTTGTTTACTAGACATATACCTGCTTGCGAGTCCTTTTGGCCGTGTGTGGTGCCAATCACCTCCTTGAGTTGCATGTGCTGGGGCTGCGGTAGCTTCTACCGTCGTACTATTTCATATAAATACCACACAACACTCAACTGTATACCACACTTATACTAGCCCACTTGCCATTTCCCGTACCCTCCAAAGCCGCCGACACTACATCCAAACCCATACCGCATATACCTACACTACACCTATACCACATATTCCTATACTACACCTATACCATATTTAGCTACACTACACCAATACCACATTTACCTACACTACACCTATACCACATTCACTTACTCTACACCTATACCAAATTTACCTACACTACACCTATGCCACATTTACCTACACTACACCAATACCACATTTACCTACACTACATCAATACCACATTTGCCTACACTACACCAATACCACATTTACCTACACTACACCTATACCACTTTTATCTACACTACACCAATACCACATTTACCTACATTACACCAATACCACATTTACCTACACTACACCAAACCACATTTACCTACCCTACACCAATACCGCATTACCTACACTACACCTATACCACTCTACACTACACATCCCTATACACACCTGTTTGCTAGCCATCTGGTCGTGCCTGGTGCCTATCAACTCCTTGAGCTGCATCTGCTGGTTCTGTAGTTCACCAAGTGTCTTGTACGCACTCTCCTTCTGCGCATTGAGATCCTCCAGAGCCCCTTCAAAGCTGGCAATGGCCACATTCTGGTCTTTACCAGCGGTGTGGTTGTGTGCGAGTTCCTCATACGCGTGCTCGTCCATGATGGAGCGACCCAGGGCAATTCGTTCCTTGCCCAAGGCCTCCGTTAGGCCTAAAGATGAAACAAGATGTTAATATATAAGTAGGTGAGACTGATGTGAAAAGGCTTGTATAGGGGCGTGTGCGTGTAACAAACAGAAAGGCGATGGTATAAGACAACAATAGCGTAAGTACATGACTGTGAAAGACTGATGAGACGTTAGAATCATGAGAAAACGTGCTAAGTCATGTCCTCACGTCCTCTGGCTCTTCAACCATCATCAAGTATATATATATATATATATATATATACATACATATACATATACTTCATATATATACGTATACATATACTTATACATATACATACACACACACACACACACACACACACATATATATATATATATACACACACACACATATATATATATATCAGCCTGGTCTTAGTCTCCGCTGCCGTACTGGCTGAAATAACACACACTCCAGCGATACACCACTAATGCGTTGATTTTTGACACACATTGTCCAAAACAAACGTTTAAAGCTATTCCTATCCTCCATTATAGTATCGATTGCAAATATGCATGGCCCAGATGCACTCAGGTATACTCTCCATTAAAGTCATAAACTCTGTAATCCGATTATGTATCCCCGGACCCCAAGTCCTTCATTAATATATATATATATATACGAATATACATACATACATACATACAGTATATACATATATATACTCGCCCACAACCTTGGCTTTCCCTCCAAACATCGCACCCACTATGACCTCAGCCTGTAAGCACCACAATAGCTATTCATAGTACAGATACAACACAACATATCCGTACTCTAATACAACCCACAAACACCGCTACCCACCCATCC